GCTATGATTTTGGCTCACTGCAACCTCCACCTCACAGATTCAAGCGATTCTCTTGCCTCAGCCTCCCAAATAGCTGGAATTACAGGCTCGTGTCACCACACCCAGCTAATTTTTTGTATGTTTGGTAGAGTCAGGGTTTTACCATGTTGGCCAGGCTAGTCTCAAACTCCTGACCTCAAGTGATCTGCTTGCCTCGGCCTCCCAAAGTGCTGGGATTACAGGCGTGAGCCACCGAGTCCAGCTTTTTTTGTACTATTTTCAATTTTGAATCTCATAATGTTTCCAGATAGATATGCCATTCATAATACAAAGAGCTTTTGTTTAGTATTGGAAAGCAAAATGAGAATTTCAATAACTATTCATCACAGTGCCTACTAACCTCTTCACAGGGTGAGAGAAATGATTTGGCTAATGTAAAAAATTCAAATATTCTAACAGAAATGGCCCTTTTCCCCACACTACTTTTCAGAGTAGATTTTAATGAGAAAATTCACGTTAAGTTTCTAAAACTTGAAGCTAACATCCAAGTTACTAAACACTTCCCAAGTTACAAAAAATTATAGGGAAAACAACAGGGCAAAACATTTATGCCTAGGCTGCTGGGATGTGTTCATGTGATGTGAGAACTACCAGATGCTGGAAATCTGAAGATCAGAAGGTCAAAGACATTGTGAAACTCAAGTGCTTTTTGCCTCTACCTACAGTGATCAGTCTGAAAGGCATCCCAGACAACACACGGCTTGTGAGAAGGTAGATGTAATTTTACTTTTCACCTTCTTTTACCTGAATAGATGAAAACTGAATAGTGCTCGATTCGGCAGCACGTATACTAAAATTGGAACAATACAGAGAAGATTAGCATGGCCCCTGTGCAAGGATGACACACAAATTTGTGAAACGTTTAAAAAAAAAAAAAAGACAATATGTCATAGTTTGTGAACTGCTGTATCTCACACAATTCAACAAGGACACTGGCTTCTGCTATACCTAAAAAGAGACTAGTCGTTGCTTAATCCTGATTCCTGAGAATCCCAAAGCTGTCCACACCCTGTTCACTCCACATGAGGATGAACATCAGGGATGCCTCCCTGTATACTGGGAATTGTATCCTAAAGATTAACATCTGGTAAGGCTACCCTAACACCCGAGGGACAGTACGGTGCTGTGACTTTGGGACTGCACATTTTCTGTCCAGCCCTGTTACTTATAACTGTGTGGCAATGCAAATTACTTCTCTGTGCTTTAATTTTCCCACCTATAAAATGTAGAGATTAGTACTACCACCTCAAAGGCGTCTTGCTATGCATTACTTTTAAAATTAGGAAAAAGAACATAGCTGCGCCCAAACCAGCAGGGTGTCTTACCTGGAACGTGGCCACCCATGCTTATATTCAAAAGAACTTTCATGTGAGAGATCTAAAAAGAATCTTACCTCTTCATATCAACAAAAGTATTAGCACTACAGGGTCTATAAACTTTCTTTATTTGAACACAAATTTTTGTGACCATGTATATTTTTCTGGGGAAGGGACCCACAGCCTTTGCCAAATTCCTTGACTCAAAACATGTGAAAGAACCACTGAATTAAAGGTTCGACAGTTCCTCCTTTGACCAGAAGACCTGGAAGGGAGGGAGCACACAGAGGGCACTGCTCTGCTCTTTGCAGCAGAGCAGTCAAACCAGATGTGGGTTCCAGTCCTTGCTCCAACATGTTCTCATATTCGCTACATGACTCCACCTCTCTAAGGCTCAGCAATCATCTACAAACCAGGGATAACTGCACCTACCTCCAGGGGTTGCAGCAAAAATTAAATAAAACATGTAAAGTGCATAGCCCATAAGAAGTGTTCAATCAATACTGTATTTGCTACTAATCATTGTAGAGTTTTTAGAAGTGGCTTGGAAAATAAATCAGACTCAATATTTAAAAAGATGTATATTTAATAAGTATATTTAAAAAGATGATGTTAATAAATGGAAATGTCTTAATTCGCTGTTCTGTGAGAGCAGAGGCAGCAGTGTGGGAACGAATGCTGCCTCAGGAGGTCTAGGTCCTGGAGTTGGCTCTTCTGTGTGGCTCTAAGCCAAGCCACTTAGCATCTCTACCTCTGTGCTCTTCTGCTATACATCAGAACCAGGCCACACCAGGGTTCCCTTTTCAGGATCTCAGAGGATCACTATAAAGGTCAAAGGAGACTGAGGCTCCAAGAGCACAAAGAAGAAAGCTTCCAAGTCAGACATGACGAAAAGAGCCACACATACAAATGACTAAGACAATGATATATGGGTCAGAGCTGAAGACGTCCTCTCGCTGGCTGGCAACACCTTAAAAAGCCAAGTCCTGCTGCCATCAATCCCAGAGCTGGAGGAGTTGCAGGAAGAGAAATGAGAAGTAAAAAGCAGAAAGCAAAAGGGGGAGCATGGTAGAGGGACCAGGCAGCAGCCACGACTGGAAGCAGTGACAGGACTGGGGAAAGTAGCATCATCCAGGACCTCAAGGACACAGGACATGCCCATCCAAACACACCATGGCTTCTCATGCTCCTGCACCCTTGAACACACATCTCTCCTATTTACACAGGGTACTGTTCCCTATCGTACTGATGAATGTCCATTTATCACTGGAAGTGCACAGCAGAGTGGTTTAGAGTGATTAGTGCACACAGGTTCTGGGGTCACAGTGCCTAAGTCCACGTACTGACCCTGAGCAAGGAGCTTCACTTCCCTGTGTTCAGTTCTTCCACTTGTTGAAGATGGAGAATGGGACCCACCTCATGGGAGTGACGTGAGGACCTGAGATGACACACAGGTCCAACACTGGCAGAATACCTAGCCCTGGAAAGGTGCTCAGGGAGTGCTGGCACGCACACCCAAATCAATGCCTCCCAGGCTCTAGCGCTGAGCCCATATAATCTTGGGCAAGCTACTGAATCCTCACCCAGGTCCCCATTTATAAAACGGAAACATCTCTAATATCTACCCTTGAAGGTTTCTTGAGAAGATGAAATGAGGTAATGCAGGCAAGCTCAGAGACTGGGACTGGGACTGGCACTGCTGAAGTAGTCAGCATTTGTTGGCTCTGATGGTGATGGTATCTCTACAACGCCTACTACAGAACAGCACAACTATTCACTTCTCTTCCTCTTTCACTAGACTGTAAATCCCTCAAGAAAGGGGACTAGGTCTTTTCCTCGCTCTTGGGTCCCCAGCACCTACCTAATGCAGAGTTCACATAGTAAACTCCGGCGGAATAAAGGACCACAACGGGGTGGGGGGACCAGCACGACCATCAGGGGTGGTCCTTCAGGGACATACCCCTACCTGTGTCAATTCCCCAAAGGCATCACAGAAGGGTCCTTACACTTACCTTCAGAAAGGGTTATGCAGAAGGTGTTCTTCACCCAAGGAAAACTATTGTTGGAAAAAGGTCAATTTGAGTGAATCCACTTGAAATAGAAATCAGAATTTCAGAGGCACCAGTAAAGAAACAATTATGGCCAGGTGCAGTGGCTCACACCTGTAATCCTGGTGCTTTGGGAGGCTGAGGTGGCAGGATCACTTGAGCCCAGGAGCACAAGACCAGCCTGGGCAACAAAGCGAGGCTCTGTTTCTACAAAAAATACAACAATTATGACAAGTATTTAAGTTGAAAAATTAATCTAAAAATATGAACATGAATCAATTTGTCTTATATTTAACAAAATTTAGATTGTGATTCCAAGTGTTATCAACAAGTAATAAATCAAGTGTTGGTTTTGGTTGGGGAGCATATGTAGCTTGCTGATAACATCTTTAAACATCCTTAGGTTCACACAGGGAAATGAGTTATAATCTGAAAATTTCTTATAAAAAATTAATCCCAAGCATACATTATTCAAGCAACATTCCTGCACTGTCACTATGCGTCGAGTCTAAGTCACTTTGTCCTTTGTTGTAGTAATGTAAATTCAATGCGAATCGATGGCAAATTGAACATTTAAATCTTGCAAAAAAGAAGCAGGATTCATGAAGTCTATGAAAGTGATCAAAGTATGGCTAAGGGATTAGAAAATGAGAATGTGGCAGTTAGACTACAGTTAAAGGAAAAATCAGCTAAGATGATACCACAATAAGGTATATCAAGAGTGTTGAGGATGTAAGAGAGAATGCTGAATGCAGACTGAGTTCATGCGAGGCCCGCCTATTGGTGAATAGTTCATGTTACCATTTTCACTTCTTAGTGCAACTCTGTAACTGTGGGGCCTTGAGTTAAGAATAGTAGGACAACATACACCTCCCAGACTATGTGCCCCAGTCCCTGCGAATATGACTTTATCTGGAAACAGGGTCTTTGCAGATGAAATCAATTTAATGAAAGGACATAGTGACTGGTGTCCTTAAAAGAGGCAAAATATCACATGTACCCATACCCTGAGAGGAAAATTTGGGCAAAGACACACAGACACACACAAGGGAGAATGCCACGTGACCATGAAGGCAGCGATTAGGGCGATGAATCTGCAAGCCAAGGAATGCCAAGGGGTGCCAGGAGCTGGCAGAAGTGAAGGCAGTCAAGGAAGGATGCCCCCCCCAGAGCCTTCCAAGGGACTGTAGCTTGCTGACACCTTGAGTTTGGAATTCTGGTGTCCAAAACCATGAGAATAAATTTGTTGTTTTAAGCCATTAAGTCTGTGGTGCTTTGTTACAGCAGCCCTAGGAAATGAATACAAGGGTCAATGAAACTTCTTGGATGGGGATACTGTAGTGCTTACAAAGGGATGTTCTTCAGGGAGGTTGCTGTCTCCCTGTGCAGAACCTCTACATGGCAAGCTGGCTTGACCTCACGTCACGTTACGTTACGGCTAGCCTGGCTAGAATGCAGTTGTGACAGGTGAACTCCCACTATTTCTGACCCCTAGGTTCTGTTGTGGCAACCTGTCTGTACTGTAGCTCCTTCAAGGCTGGGGGCTCTGCCAGCTTCTTAGCAGGTCCCTCCCAAACACCAGAATCCCACTCCTGATCCCAGCCTGAGATTATAGCCAGAACTGCTATTGAGATCTCCCTGGTGCCACCACCTCCTTGTCACCCCGCTGGCCATGGGGTTGCCAGGCATGTAACCCAAAAGGAGCTGCTGGATTTTGCCTATACGTGCTAGAAGCAAGATGAACAAAATCACTGGGGACTTGAGGAGTTTTATAAGGTTTCATGGAAGAGCTGAGACTTGTACTGTACCACAGGGACAAGAAGGTTGGGGATGGATGGCGACAGTCAACAATTGTACCAAGGGACCACAAAGTATGGAGGTGCAGAGAGGAGAAGGGCCTGGTCCCTGCTCTTCAAGAACCAACAGTCTCTTGACAATCTGAACCCACGTATGACAGATGAAGAGAGTGCTGCACGCCAAAGCGAACTGTGGGGACCAGAGGAGGGGACGGTGGTAAGGAGAGAAACCCAGGAGACATGAGCAGGACTGAGGACATGCAGGAATCAGCCAGGCCGCACATGTGTGTTTGGGGAGTTAGGGAGAAACGTTCCAGGAATGTCTAGGAGTAAATGAGGAAGGGGCTCTGTGAAAGCCTCTTTCTCTGACTCTACAATGTAGCTTGAGGAAGCGGGACAGGACCATCTGTGCCCACCAGGCAGAAGGCTGGCTCAAAATCTAGGCCCAGGCATATGAGGACTTAATAACATAGCTTTTACAGGATAGTATTCATAATTTGGAAAGAATTCAACTGGCAAAATAGTATTTAAACAAACTCACGTAAGGCATTTTAAAAATGATTTGATCCACATTAAATTCAGACATAACTTTCAAGGATACATCTACTAAAAAAAAAGAAAAGAAAAGAAAAAAAGATGTGGACTGGACTGCTCCACGGGACAAGGCTACCTAAAACTATCTGACTTAAACCATAATTTTTACAGAAGCCAAAGTTCATTATGACTTACCTCTTTGATGTGATGATAGGCATGTTTGTCTTCACATCTGGAACAAAGAAGTTCTATTAGTTTCAGGCAAATTTCCCATAAGGGGAACAAACACTAAAAATCTAGGAAAGACTGAGAATTTGAAGATTCACAAAATCATACACCTAGAAAGTTAATACAATACTGTCCAGTCAACAATGGCAAAAACATGCTTTCTATGCCTCAACCTCCCGAGTAGCTGGGATTACAGGTACCCTCCACCAAACCTGGCTATTGTATTTTTAGTAGAGACAGGGTTTTGCCATGTTGGTTGAACTCCTGACCTCAGGTGATCCACCCGTCTTGACCTCCCAAAGTGCTGGGATTACAGGTGTGAGCCACCACACCCAGCCAAACTTGTTTTACAACTATGTAACACATTTATATGGTTTCAAAGTCAAATCTATAAAGTCTTACCTCTCTCTTCATCCTGTTTCATCCCTTCCTACTGGGATTTTTTTTTTTTTTTGAGACGGAGTTTCACTCATGTTACCCAGGCTGGAGTGCAATGGTGCGATCTCGGCTCACCGCAACCTCCGCCTCCTGGGTTCAGGCAATTCTCCTGCCTCAGCCTCCTGACTAGCTGGGATTACAGGCACGCGCCACCATGCCCAGCTAACTTTTTGTATTTTTAGTAGAGACGGGGTTTCACCATGTTGATCAGGATGGTCTCAATCTCTTGACCTTGTGATCTACCCGACTCGGCCTCCCAAAGTGCTGGGATTACAGGCTTGAGCCACCGCGCCCAGCCCCTACTGGGATTTTTAAAAATTATGGGTTACCCTTCCATTTTAAAAAATTGGTTGGGCATAGTGGCTTGTCCCTGTAATCCTAGTATTTTGGGAGGCCAAGGCGGGCAGATCACTTGACATCAGGAGTTCGAGACCAGCCTGGTCAACATGGTGAAACCCTGTCTCTACTAAAAACACAAAAATTAGCCAGGCGTGGTGGTGCACACGTGTAATCCCAGCTACTCACTCAGGAGGCCGAGGCAAGAGAATCGCTTGAACCCAGGAGGCAGAGGATGCAGTGAGCTGAAATTGCAGATTGTACTACTGTACTCCAGCCTCAATGATAGAATGAGTGAGACTCTGTCTCAAAAAATAAAACATGTATTTTATATTTCCATCTTTTTAGATAAACCACAGCACAGCATGTACTTTCCTTTACATTGTGCTGTCTTCGCTTACCAGCATATCCTAGTGATCCCCCATTCCTGTCTCAGCTCTGCAGTCTTTCATTATATGGATTAATCATATAAACGTGGTTTATTCCTCTGGTCCTCTCCTGATGAACATATAGGTTGTTCCCAGTCTTTGGATATTACAGTGTTGCATGAACAGCCCTGTGCTATTTCTTTTCATATTTTGTCAGTGTACTGTTAAGATAAATTCCTAGAAGTGGGATTGCTGGATCAGAAGTAAATGCATATACTGGGACAACTGGATATCCACAGGCAAAACAATAAAGCTGGACCCTTACTTTACACAGTATACAAAAATTAACTCAAAATGGACCAAAGACCTAAACTTAAGAGTTCAAACTATAAACCTCTTAAAAGAAAACACTGGGAAAATCTGCATGACTTGGACTTGGCAATGGTTTCTTAAATAGATACCAACAGCACGGGCAATAGCAGACAAAAATAGATAAACTGGACTTAATTAAAATGAAAAATTTTTACCATTTTATACTCATTAGGATGACTATTACCATTATTATATAGTTTTTCGAGAGGGAGTCTCACATCGTTGCCCGGGCTCAAGTGCAGTGGCACAACCTCGGCTCCTGCCACCTCTGCCTCCCAGGTTCAAGCAATTCTCCTTGCCTCAGCGTCCCGAGTAGCTGGGATTACAGGCAACTGCCACAATGCCCGGTTAATTGTTTTGTATTTTTAGTAGAGATGGGGTTTCACTACATTGGACAGTCTGGTCTTGAACTGCTGACCTCGTGATCCACTGGGCTCAGGGATTACAGGCATGAGCCACAGCGTTATTATTTTTTTAAATAAGTGTTGGCAAGGATGTGGAGAAATTGGAACCTTTGGTGCATTGCTGGTGGGAATGTAAAATGATGAAGCCAATGTGGAAAACAGTTTGGTTATTTCTTAAAATGTTACACAGACAATTACCATATAACCCTGTAATTCCATTCCTGGGTTTATATCCATAACAACTAAAGACAGACTCAGATACATGTATGCCAATGTTCACACCAGTATAATTCAGAAGAGCCAAAATGCAGAAACAACCTAAGTATCCATCAGCAGATGAGCTAAAGGAACTATGTCCATATAATGGAATACTATTCCACTGTAAAACAGAATGAAGTTCTGATATATGCTATATGGCAGGAATGAACCTCAAAAACATGCCAAGTGAAAGCAACAGACACAAAAGGGCAGATATTGTATAATTGTATTTATATACAGGAAATATCTATAAAAGGTAAATTAATAGACAGAAAACATATAAAGGTTACCAAGGACTGAGGGGAGAGAGGAAAGGGGGAAAAGAAAACAAAGTAAATGCATACATAATTTTGCTAAACATCGCTAAATTCACTTCCATAAGGGCCGTACCACATGCACACCACCAGCAATGCAAGAGAAAGTCTGTTTCTGAAGTCCTCGCCAATGCGGTATATTGTCAGACTTCTGGATTTTTGCGTGATTGTTGAAATGGTATCTCAGTGCAGTTTTAATCTGTGTATTTTCTATATACATTAAAAAAAAATCCTTTCTAATTATGTTTTAACATGCTGGTGTTGGTTCTTAAGTAACTACTGTAAGAATTCCTTAGAGAAATACACTAAAAGATTTGTAAATTAAAGAGAATTAGCAAGGAAGAACTACATACATTAGTATGTTTTAAGATACATGTCATGACTATTATAAATTCTAATTCTGGAAATAAAATTTTAAAAATTTGCATAGTGCAACAGGTGAGCAGGTACTTAACTACCAGCACCTGCCACAACCATAGTACTCTGCTAGGCAAACACTTAACAAAAAAGCCCAATTAACACTTGATAATTCTAGAAATTAAACACATTTTCACCCAATCACAACCCTTTTGCTTTGATTAGAATTATTCTAGGTGTTAACTTTGGTAGTAAAATTGCCAGTGTACATGTTACTTCTCTAGAATTTGACTATACAACCTGAGGCATAAGATCAAACATGAAGGAAAATGATAATTTGTCAAAAGAACTGAATGATGCAACAACTTTACCTTTCCATTTAGCAACCACTTTAGGATCTGAAATTGTGAAGCTTGGACGGCTTCTTGAAAGAATACCTTTTCCAAAATAACCCTTTCAGGAAGAGAGAAAGCGAAGTTAGCTTATGTTTAGTTACCAGTTTTTTAGTTGGGGTAGAATATACAGTAACTCCTCAGTAGCCACAAGGGGGACTGGTTCCAGAACCTCTGGTGGATACCAAAATCTGCAGAAGGTGGAGTCCCCAATATAAAATGGTGTAGTACTTATATATAGCCTATGTAAGTCCTCCCATATACTTTAAATCATCTCTAGGCTGCTTATAATACCTAATGCAATGCAAATGCTAGGTAAATAGTTGTTATACTATAATGTTTAATAAAACATAAGAAAATAAAATCCACGTTTCGTACAGATGCAATTTTTCTCCCCAAATATTTTCCTTTCTTTTTTTTTTTCAGACAGAGTCTCGCTCTGTTGCCAGGCGCCAGGCTGCAGTGCAGTGGCGCAATCTCGGCTCACTGCAACCTGCACCTCCCGGGTTCAAGCAATTCTCCTCCCTCAGCCCGCCAGGTAGCTAGGACTACAGGTACATGCCACCATGCTCTGCTAATTTTTTTTATATTTTCAGTAGAGACGGGGTTTCACGATGTTGGCCTCGATGGTCTCGATCTCTTGACCTCGTCATCCGCCCACCTCGGCCTCCCAAAGTGCTGGGATTACAGGCTTAAGCCACTGTGCCCGGCCTCTCCCCAAATATTTTCTATCCAAGGTTGGGTGAATCTATGGAAGTGGAACCCATGATATGGAGAGCCAACTATATCCATCTGAGTTAACAAGAGGTTCACCCCACTTTTCAGGTCTTCACATTTTCCCTCTGATTATCTAATGATGACTAATGATGTTCTCAGCATAATACCTTTCTAATCGTTTGTAGAGTACTAGTAAGTTTTTAGCACACCTCAATTATCCCATAACTAATGCTTTCAGTCTAGGTTTGTTAAGCTGAGGGCAGGCAGAGGCAGAGTTTCTTCTCCACTTGTGGTTCAGGAACCAGATGCAAAAAAACCTCTTGGATTCTTTTGTACTCCAGGACTGAAGTATTCCTCTCATTCCTGCTGATTCCCAAAACAACATGTATCTTTCCCCTTTTTATTATAAAATATTTAAACACATAGAAAATTTAAATAATAAAAAAACAAATATCCCTTTCTCTATCTAGATTAACAATCAGAATAAATAGGCCAGGCACGGTGGCTCATGCCTATAATCCCAGCACTTTGGGAGGCTGAGGTGGGCAGATCACTTGAGGTCAGGAGTTCAAGACCAGCCTAGCCAACATGGTGAAACCCTGTCTCTACCAAAATATACAAAAATTAGCCAGGCATGGTGTCATGTACCTGCAGTCCCAGCTACTCAAGAGGCTGTGGTGGAAGAGTCACTTGAACCTGGGAGGCAGAGGTTGTAGTGAGATCACACCACTGCAATCTAGCCTGGGTGACAGGGTAAGACCTGGTCTCAAAAAACAACCAAGAACAACCCCACCACCACCAACAACAAAAAAACAAGAATAAATTACACATTCAGCACTTCATAAAGCCTCTTGCTTAATGTTACATACTGTGAATGAAGGCCTCCCTGAGGAGCTGCCCTTGGCCTACTCAGACTCCCGCCTCACCATGTTCAGTGCCACCCACTCTTCTAAAAAATGTCTAGAGAAGACACATTTATGGGGACAAGACACTGACCTGTGGCTGCCTTGGGCTGACAATGAGAGCAGGGATTAAGTATGATGGGCACAAGAGAAGTCTGTGGTGATGGGAATGTTCTAAAACTGGACTGTGGTGAGAGTTGTGCAACTCCATAAATTTATGACAATCACTGAATTGTATACTTAGAATGGGAGAACTTTATAGTTGTAAATTATAACTCAATAAAGCTGCTTTTTAAAAACGCCCACAGTAATGAACAGACTATGGAAAATCTTTTTTTAAAGAACTACCATTCTTCATTCAACTTGATCAATGCCAGAAAACAATAAAAACTAGAGCCTGTCCTCATCTGAGAAGAGGTCCCCCACCGGGAGGCAGCAGATAAGGAGCTCCATGCCACAGCCCCATGCCAGAGCCCCACCTGATCTGTGCCTGAGCAGGGACACTATGCCACACTGTGGCTACCTCTGGGAATGGAATGGGAGTGAGTGGGGAATTTTCACTTTTACCCATACATTTCTGTAAATTACTTTTTTTGTTCCTTCAATAAACATACATTGCTTTTACAACTGAAAGACAAAAAAAAGTCAATCCATTGACCCTACTTCGTGGCTGAAATAAAGGTTTGTGGGCAGGGATGCTCCATCCGTCATTCTATTACCCTAACATATGGCTTTTGGGCACCAATTCAAATTGTACTCTTCCTACAACTGGACCAAACTTCAAGGAAAGAAAACACATTGTTCATGGTTGGTGTGGGGGGATGGCAGGGATGGGGAGAAGGAAAGGACTGCCTGCTCAGGGTCGTCTGAAAGTAACCCTACCGAGGCCGCCCACACTTACGTTCCCATAGAGCTGCTCGATGTCCTCTGCATTCCTCACAATCACATTATTGTTAATCATTTCAGCACGGAATATCTTGAATTCTTTCTGAGGACCATGGTCCTGACCAAAAGGGATTGGCAAGGGAGACTCATAAGTCTCATATACTCTTCTTTTCCTCTTTGGGGCATGGAAAACTGCTTCTGCCATTTTTCAGAGGAGGCGTTCTTTAAAGAGTAGACAACAAAAAGAAAGAAACAATCAATAGCTACCTTGATCCAAAATATGAGTACATCTGTACTTAGGCTCAGGAAACTTTGTGGTCTGTGGGAAGAAATCAAATATTTGTAAAGCAATAAACTAAAAGTAATAAGAACAGTTTGCGTGAGCAATGCAAATCACATTGACCTAGAATACTGCAGTTAATCCCCACAATAACCCCCAGAAAATGAGTGGTAATCTTTCTACTCTACCTGATGACACTGAGACCTAGTGACATGCCCGAAGCTGCAAGGTTAGGTCTCCTGAGAACAAGCACAACCGGATTTCTGTCTACCAGGATTGCTTCCATTTCACTTACCCAACATAGACATTTACTACCAGGAATTCCTAATAATCACCGGTGCTGGGGATACAAAGACAAAACTGAAACCCTGTCCTCAACAAATTAAATCTCATGAGCACTTCACTTTCCAAGAATATCTTAAAATATATACTAAACACTGGGTCAATCAGCTCCCAATTTTTAAAGTATATTAATAAATCATAACAATGACAGCAGCAGTTATCATTTAAGGATCTATTACATGCCAGCAAATGCTACTGGCTTCAAGCAGGGACTCTAAAGCCAGACTACCAGCATTGGAATCAACTTTACCACTTCCTAGCAGTGTGATTTTGGACAAAAGTCACTGACTCTCTCTGTGCTTTAGTTTCCTCATCTGCAAAAATCAGTATAAGAACAGACTCTATTTTATAGTTAAGATCCATAAAGTGCTTAGAACAGTACCTGACACACTATGATTACTATGCATGTATCAGCTATAATTAGTATTACAGGGTGGGCAGTAGCAACACCATTTTACAAATAGGAAACAGATTCAGGCTAGAGATTTGTAAAGGATCCCAAATGTGGTGGCATCAGATGACGCAGGTCTGCTGAACTACCAAGCCCACACCCTCTCCCTGGGTTCTGCCGAAAGCACAGGCAGGGTCTGTCTACTTTTGTCTCATGACTATTTTCTCAAAGTCAGGCGGTGGAGGGTTACTGAGCAATAATGGAACTACCCACTGTGCACCCAGTACTACGAGGCAGAAAAGGAAGCCAAAGCCAGTACCTATCCCTCTGCGGCTATACATAGGACCCAAGAAGGCAAAACAAGTATGTAACATACATGGAAACACAGAAAGCAGGTGGGAGCTAATGGAACAGGCACGATCCAGTAATGTCTAAAGGAGGGAAGTAAATGTGAGCATATTGTGTGACACAGATACAGAGATGTACTTAACTAGGAAAACTTAACCATTTACAAGGGAAAAAATGTAAATGGTACAAGACATTCTACTCAAGGAGCAGCTTTCCTGGATTCAGACGGGAGACTTGAATCTGCTGCTCCCTTAGTACTAGGTCTAGACTTGATTTCAACTGAGAGCTTACCTGGTGCTTGAAGATCTAGTGCAGCCAAATCATACACATGTTTAACATACACGACTCCAAGCCCTCACAAGGGAAAAAATAACACTGTTTACTTAGGTGGCTCCTGCACTCTAGTACTTGCAACCCACTGACAAGGGATGCCATCAAGCCTGAAATAGTCAAGAAGGTGGCCAAAGCTGAGGGAGGGAAAGGTGAGTGGCTTTAAGAGTGCCATGACCACTGAGAAATGAAATCAAGGTGTAATGATATCTTTATCCAACATCTCAAGGAAGAAGTTGCGGAATTATATGAGGACACAGAGAAACATAGACTAAAGAAAAGTTAGAGGAACTGATAAATCAATTACAAAGATGACCATGAAAAACAAGAATTGGGAAGTTGGAACCTTCCTAGAATTGCCAGTGTTCCAAGCAGCAACATGCTAGATTAATTTCTAAATAAGGTTCTTTGAAGGAATTACATACTGAGCATTATTTCGTACATTTTATATTTATGCATGCATCTTGCTGTATAGTGTTTATAACAAAACTGTATCTACTACATGTTCACAGAAAACCTAAGAAATTTTCTTAGGAGCATATTTTGACTAGACTTTACCTTGCTTGCTGACTTATGCCTCAGCCCAAGCCAACCATCACATTTAGTACTCAACTGGAGATACAATAATTTATTCTAAAACTGAAAATAAACACTGCTTTTTGGGGGCAGGATGTTGGTCTCCAGTAAGGCACTTTTTGAAAGATTTCCAGGAATGGTTTGGACTTCTATGAGATTTTTCACTTTTATAATAACCTCTGCTCCGCATCTGACTTGTATATATTACACTTAGATTTTAAAAAATGAAAAAAGATTTAATGGCCAACTTCAAGAAGCTCTAATAAATTCTCTCAACAAATAAAGAGTTGTATTTTAGTTTGCCTCATTTGTTCAGCGTTTTTCCCTTTCAGACTACTGTCACACCTAAAAAAGACCAGACTTAGCTGTGACACTTGATGGAAAGAATTCTGTACTCCAACCCAAGTGTGTGGGATGGAAGGGTCCCTGCCACAAAACACTCCCCATTATCCAAGTTCTTGTGTCACTCTTGCTCATGTGGCTACACACACCTCAGGAATTGGGCTCACAGGAGGCCTTCCACACATACAAAGCCACCACTATTATTCTATGACCTTGCACAACCCACTTTCTCTAAGCCCAGTTTCATCTTCAAATTGAACGGGACTGGAGGAGTCTGGTGGTTCCTCAAACTGTAAACACATACATGACCCAGCAACTCCACTCCTAGGTACAGACCTAAGTGAACTGAAAATATATGTTCATGGAAAAATTTCTATGTGAATGTTCACAACACTATTATTCATAATAGCCCCAAAGTAGAAACCATCCAAATGTCCATCAATAGTTGACCAGATCAACAAAATGTGGTCCATCCATATAATCAAATATTATTTGGCCATAAAAAAGGAATGAAGCTCTGATACATTCAACAACACTTGAAAGCATTATGCTAAAAGCCAGACACAAAAGACCAGATGAGACAATTAATATGAAGTGTCCGGAATAGACAAATCTATAGAGACAGTTTACAGGTTGCCAGAGACGGTGAGAAGTGGGAAATGGGGAGTGACTGCTAACAGACATGGGGTTTATTTTGAAGGATGATGAAAACGTTTTAAAATTACACTGCAGTGATGATGATGGTTACATAACTCTGCAAATACTAAGACCACTGACTTGTACACTTCAGAAGGGTGAATTTTATGGAATTACATGGTATCTCAATAAAGCTATTTTTAAACATTCAGAAGTAAAGACATCCCCCCAGGCCATGTCTTGCAAGAATAGCTTCACAGATACCAGCATGAGGCTTCTAGAGAAGATAGAAAGAAACTCTCTGGGAAGGTAGAGCTCACTTTCCAAGGGGGAAAGATTCAAGAGGACAAATCAGATGATCTCTAGTCTCACAGAAGAGTCCTCTTGTGCTGAACTTGAAAGGCAAAGCAGAGGAGAAAACACTGCATTCCCCATGTCTGCAATGGACATTCAAGAAATGGTTCCTTAGTGCCATGACAGGAAAACAGCATGCTGTTAAGAGGTGGGATGTGAGTAAAATAAGAAGAGGAAACTGTCACAGGTAGGTACAAGATGCCAGGCACTGTGTCATGTGCTGCACATGTGGGTACTATAGTCATCCCTTGGTATCCACAGGATTGGTTCCAGGACTCACCTTCTACCAAAATCCACAGCTCAAGTCCCTTAAATAAAATGTTGTAGTATTTGCATATAACATACACCCATCCTCCTAAGTCATCTCTAGATTAGATTACTTATAATACCTAATACAATGTAAATGCTAGGTAAATAACTGTTATTTTTGTGTATGTGTTTTCAAAATTTATTTTTCCAAATATTTTTGATGCAAGACTGGTTGAATCCACAGATTCGGAACCTGATACGGACAGCTGACTGTACTATCTTCATTCCACAGGCAAGAAGAGCGGTGCCTGAGGTGCACAAAAACGTACAGGAAATACCGGGTAAGTCGTCAAGAGGTTCGGTATGCAAAGGCTGGTTTGGAATTGGAGTTACACGGAGGTTCTTAAGTAGAGAATGATGACTGAAAAAAGTAGGTTAAGAAAAGTAAACCACGGAGTGGTACATCACACAGAGTGGTCCTCAAGCTTAGCTACCCTTAACTCCTCATGCCCGGGCCTGACCTGCAATCAATTACATCAGAATTTCCTGGGTGAACCCAGGTGATTTTAGCATGTAGCCAACCACTGGTGAAAGCATGGTCTATTCAAATTCACTTAATCCCAATAGCCCCCTGAGGTAAAGACTATTTTTATTTCCATTTATAGATGGGGAAAGTGACTCAGAAGGTCTGAGCGCACCCCTGAGGAATTGTTATTTCTCCTTTCCCCAACCTACGCACACCTGACTCCGGAGCTGCATGAAGTATTCTTACTTTCTGTTAAAAGCAACGCCTGTTTCTTAATTCTTCCCTTAAGCACACAAGCTAACACCTCTTAGGTGCTGGTAAATGTCTACTAGAAACAAACAAAAAGGGGGAGGTGGCTCCATTTAATTTCCAACTTTCCTGGACTGGGTGCCAAACAAACCTGGTTTAAAAACCTCCCACCCAGCAAATCTCACCTTCTCCCAACCAGAACACGTTTGGAGCGCCAGCTGCGCACCTCCTGGGCTCAGGAAGGCAAGGATGAAAGGGACAAAGCAAACAATCCTGCCTCCGGGGAGCTTTCAAGTTGGAACCCGAGAATAAGCCATATAAACAGATAATAAGCCTTTGAAAGTTGTTGTGAGGATTAAATGCATAATTTTGCAGAAGGTGTCTCGTTCAGGGCCTGCCACGTGGAAAGTGCTTACCAGGCGACAGCTGCAACTATTAATACAAATAAACTGCGCACACGCCAAAAAGCGTTATGGGACGCACGAATTCCTAACTGTCTTAACTTACCCCTTTGCTTCTTACCCTGGCTCCCCCCACCCGCGACCCAACTCCACCAGAGACTGAGGGTCCTCTCGGGCACTGTCAGCAGCCTCTTGGCGCCCCAGCCCCACCAGCCCCGGACAAGGCGTCGGCGTTTCCAAGAAGAACCAAGGGCTGCAGGCGCACAAGGAAGGCGTGAAGTCAGTGACCGTGCGTGCTAGGAAGCCTGGCTCTCCGTCCCCGCCGGCTGTGCGACTCCAGCACAGTCCCTGGGCCCTTTCCGCTCTCGCCCTGCAAGGCTTTCGGAAGAGCTAGATTTCCTTTCGCAGCGAAACCCAAATTTGGCCGGGGCCGCACGTTCCTCGCCCAGGGACCTTACCTTTCTTGGCCCCATGCGCTCACTGTTACCCCGGCAACGCTGGCCTTTGGGGCGGATACCGCTGCCGTCAAGCAGTGCGGCCGCAAAGCCAGCCGAGTGCGCAGCCACAGAGCGCCCGTCGGGACTTGGCGGAGTGCGCCTGCGCACGTCCTGGTTGCGGGTATTTGTGTGCGCCTCCTCTGCTCCTGTCGGGGAACGCGTGTGCGGAGGGTGGCGTGTGCTCTTTGCTGGTTTCTGCGGGATTGTACGGACGCAAGGACGATCCCGCAAGACCCATTTTACAGATGAGATGTAGTTACCCGTCAAATGTCACATAGTCACGTGGGAGGTGGGAAAGACCTAAAGTCTTACGCCCTTGGAGGGATGGGATGTTTGAGGCGACCGGCAGGACTTTATTAAACGGCCCTGAGGAAACTGATCTCAGCTTTCTCAGTGTAGAAAGAAGGTCACAGCAGCGCACTTGTATACGCTGCAGCATGCGGAGAGCTTGTGAGGATGCTCCCTCTGGCAGACACGTGGCCAGAAGCCTCTGTGTGCTCAGACTACCTCTGGAGTTAAGGGACGACAGGCGGCATGTCCACCTCCTCTGCATCCCCATCTTCCCCCCGTCACTGGCCGTGTGATCTTGAATGTCTGACAGCATTTCTGAGCTTGAGTTTACTGAAAAATGGGAGATGAGCAAAACTAGAGTGCAGTGGGAAGTTTAAGTTTCTCCTGACCTGGTTATTTTAAAGAAGGCCTGTGGGGAGTCCGATATATACCTTCGCGAATATGAATCACAGGAGTTCCACCGCACAGACTAGGCAGGAGGCAAAGGAGGGTGGCAAGAAAGAGTGGCAAATACTGCTGGCGAGATTCATGGTGCTAGATATGATGATGGATGTTGAATTTTGGCCCTTTGCCAATGTTCTTGCCTCCATTCATGCGTACATGCTGTTGCCTCTATGTTCCCTCCCCTCTGTCAGCTGCAGTAATTCCTGGTCAGCCTTTAAGTCTCAGCTCAGATATCACCTCTTCTAGGAGACTTCTTGCCTCCCCAGACCTTCTTGGGTGATTTGCCTATGTGTTCTGCAATAGTCTATGGCATGTGTTGTCCTTGTTTTTTCTGGCCCTTTTTATTTTTTATTTTTTTGAGACACAACATGGGTGAATATCAAAAACACTATTTTGGGGGGAAAAAAACATGTATCAGAGGCTACATATTCTAGGATTCCTTTGTATTTTTATTTTTAATTTATTTTTAATTTTTTTGAGATGGAGTCTTGCTCTGTCACCCAGGCTGGAGTGCAGTGGCACGATTTTGGCTCACTGCAACCTCCACCTCCTAGGTTCAAGTGATTCTCTTGCCTCTGCCTCCCAAGTA